CGGTCATCCGACGTGACGTCGAGAGTGACCGACTGAAAGGGAACATTACTTATCACATTTGATTATGGTCGTGCTGCAGATAGTTCTATTTTTGTAGACCCCCCTGAATGAATACATTGTTTAAAATAAGCAGTATATTTTTATATACAGTACCCCCCCTTCAGTTGTATGTAATCAGTGACTTAAATACTTTACAAATTAATTAGTAAGTTTGGTATCTTATATGATTTTTTGCATTATTTATATTGATTTATTTAATTGTATTATTTGCTTGTTTTTATTTTGAACTTGATAGACTAGCCAAAGATATGATTATTATTAACAAATGAATAAATACATTTGGAATCAGCTCAGAAACTGTTTTACATATTATAATACAGTTCTTAAATTAAAAACTCAGGGACCTAAATTGTTATAAATATGTTAGGGTTAGCCAGGTTTGAAGCAGTTGCAAAATGGCTGAGCTGATAAAATATTAAATATAGTAAAATAATGAAGATTTAAATATTTGCACCTTATTTATTGACACATACGTTTGCTCTGTCTTTCATACTCTCAAACAGACATGGACAAGGTGATGTCATGCGTGTTAATGCATAATGCTGATGTGACGGTGATAGGCGATGGAGTCTAACTACTCCAACTAATCAGTTTGATTCTTGCTATTTTAAATCACCCACCAGAGACCCCTCCATCTCTCACAACAGAGGAAGATAACAGTCAGACAGTGAATGTAGCCGGCAGCAGTAAAGTCGGGAAACACTCCAGCCCCTGCACTCCTCCCGATCTTTCCCTAAAGCATGTAATGGACATTCAAATAGCCACATCGGACATTGTTGCCTGGAGGTGCTGTAATGTAATTTCTCCAACCATTAGAACAGCCACACAGGGGAGCCGCACTACTTTATGGAAAAGTAAATGCTCGCATCTCCGGCTAAGACCGTTTGGAGCTGCTCACTTTCTGCCAAGAGATGGGTGTAGCTGCTCAAGGCGAGAGGAAGCTACAGTATTTCTCTCTGCTGCTTGAGCGTGAACAAGGTCACCCTGGCTGAGCCTTGTGTTAATTACTCCGTTTGGAGGAGTCACATTTTTTTTTTCCACAAGTGCCCTTATGAGGCAGCGCACTAATGAGACTGTTCGTTTCTCACTTTGTCTGTTTCTCTGTATTTTCACTGTTCCACTTGGACTTAGTGAGCTTGTAAATGCGATCTGATACGGTTCAGTAATGTGGATCATCATCGAGAATATGGGGCAGAGTAGGGCTGCACGATTATGACAAAAATCATAATTATCGATTATTCCCTTGAAATTGTAATTGCGATTATTAATTACGATTATCACAATTTAAATTTAATGATGTTTATAACATTGTTTGATGCAACTGCATGCCATATTTTTATATGAAAATAAACAAGCTGAAAACACTCTAACTGAAAAACTTTTAGTGCTTTTCTATATTAAGCCTCAAATGTCAACTATACATCGGATTGGTTTCTTCTTTTAAATTATAAAAAAAGTAAAAATATGAATGGTGTTATAGTGTTATACTAAAATTAAAACAATGGAAAAACCCTTAAGATAACATGTAGAAAGAAAAAAAAAAATGCATCTTAAGTAGGGTTGTGACGGTGAGGAAATTTTCCCATCGGTTAATCGACATGTGACAACACCGGTAATACCGGTATCACCGCTGGGGAGGGGTGGGGGGGGTGTTAGTTCGTTTGAGTTTCCCTCTTTTCTTCGCTTTCAAATGGCTTGTCAACT